TATTATATGATATATAAATGAGTTATTTAGTAAATTATAAATATTATTTAGTAAATCCTGCTCTTTCTTCCGCTTCGTAAGCTAAATCGAAAATTGCTTTTTGAAGAGCTCTTCTTTCTTTGAACGGTAATCTTTTCAAAATGTCACCCAAATAAATTAAGAATCCATCGATGCCATCAGCAGGCTTATTACACTCCGATAGAATGTTAACCAAATGCTTCTGAAATTCTACGTCTTCGGATTTCTTCCTTGGACCTAAAACATTACAAAAATATTAAACATAAAACTTACTTGATAAAAATACAGTAAATACATAAAAATAAGATGCTAACGATATGATGCATATTTTAAAAAAATGTCTTACGCAAACTTACGTTTTGTATGCTCGATGAAGCTACTGTTTTCAGAAATATTGCTATTGATTCCAGATGTGCTTAAGGCGTTACTGTCTTCCATCGGTTCTTCAATTGTGTTAACATCTGAAGCAGTGGACATCGAAAGAGATTCATTTGAGCCGCATGAATGAGACCTTTTTCGTATCGTGTGCTGTTGGCTTAATGGGATGCTGGAGTGATTCTGCACTTTTGGCTGTACACAAACGCCACACAATTTGTAAATTACACAAATATTTTCACGAATCGATAGTTCTAGGAGCGAAAGGTGCCGAATGTACAGAATCACTCCAGCATCCCCCTGACACGCGCTCGGGGCCACGTATTGTGTCATCACGCTGATGCAAGATAATGCAAGATACTTGAGTTGTGCTTGAGTAACGAGTCATACTTTGCTGTTCCCCATTCTGTATTGCTGATGATCTCCTTGAACATGGAGATAGTGGCCACCACGATGTTGTAGGTGCCCTTGATTTCTCTGAAAGAGAGAGAAAGCGGACGTTAGCTCGAGTTTTCTCAGTTTTATTTCTTCTTGGACATTCGATGGCAAACTGTCTCACCCATAGTGAATGCTGTTCACCAACTTCAACACACTTTCGTTAACGTCCCGCGGACTCGCGTCCATTGTTTTCATCTCCGTTTGTCCGAACATTAAAATTCACCACAGCGTATCTCAGCACGTACACCGGAAAACTCGCGAAGTTGCTTCTCTAACCTGTTCGTTGACGCACCATGGGAACAGGCCGGCCAAACATTTCCGTCACTCGTTGATACGGCAAAGCTCTGATTGGTTGCTTCTATAACGCACTCTCTATTCCGTACTCCTATTCTGCACCATGTGATTTCAGCCTTATTGTTAGCGGTGAGAGGCTCAAGGAACGAATGCACGCGTGAGCGGTTGGAAATCACGTGATTGAGAACTCTGATGGTTCGCGTAAATTACCGTATCACAGTTTAATAATTGCAATATGCTTACAGTGAGAAGTCTATGCGTATAACGGGAGATGAAAAGTCTTAATTCACTTGCGCGGGTCGATATTACTGATCGAGAGCCGGCCTCGTGATTGTAGATGCCCGTGAGCCGTGTCCACGCGGCGCCGGCGTGCATGATGCGTGGTGAGACTGGTGAGACTGAGCCGCCGTTGATGCTGTATCTTGAGCTGTCCTGTATGAATCGCACTGGTGTGAGATCACTACGTGTCCGCACTGAGTAAAGTCCGCTCTGATGAGAAGGTCCACAAGAGCACTCGAAAGTCTTTAGCACTACACGACGCGTGTACTATGTACCGTAGCCATGAGCCAAAAGCGCCGGTAACGCACGTGAAGTCGCACCGACTTCTCGTGTCGAGATCGAGCATGCGCAAGCAGCGCTCCTGCGGCGCTCATGCGGCGCTCATGCGGCGCCGCACGATCTGACCCGGCTGATGCTGCCATCACGCCGGTGACGAACTGACCGAGATTCAAAATGAATCTCGAACAGTCCCTCTATTACAGAAGCCGAATTTGAAGAAATTCTGAAAACTTGGTTTAGACAAGCAAGCTTGCGATTACTTCGTGAAAATACCAGAAGAAATGCCATGAACACGTAAACATATTTTACTTTGTCGAGAACGGTTTAGATTCAACTGTGATTTTTTTATAAGACTGAGATACACATGTATACATATGTATATGTTACATATACACAGCGTAAAACATTAAGTTTCTGTGTGAAATATCGCATACACATTTTATTTTTCTTTCTATAATTATGCGTATTTCAAAAGGTTTTTTCAATAGTTTCTTGTCTTTTTAGAATCAACTGCGATTTTTGTTATAAAACTGAGATACATGTAAACATATATGTTTAGTAATACCTTGCCTTACGTCGTTTCGACTCACATCGTTTCCGATTTTTTTTTGCTAGGAAAAAAGTTGCCACACGTGCTGCATGATCCTGTTACAGGATTAAGGGTGCGGCCACATGGATTGATATTTTCCGCGTAACGCGTATCGTGTAACCAATGAATTGCGACGATTGACATTTCCGTTGAAACATTCCAAAAGAATGAACGATATCATTCGTTACGCGATACGCGTTACGCGGAAAAATCAATCCATGTGGCCTTAGCCTAAGAAAACTGTACAGGGCGCACTTTCGACCATTTCTTGCAGCGTATCGAAAAGCCTTTAGCCGTCTTATCCTCTTCCTATTTACACGTAAGGCGAGGCATCCCATACAGCACAAAAACCTTTCAGAAATATTTCAGAAATATTTCATGTGATAGATTGAAACGTTTCATAAATATTGCAAAATGTTTCTGCAATAGCTCTGAGACAGCTCTGGAACAGTAAAATGTCCGCGATTCTTACACTTGAAAGCTTATAGAAAGATTTCTGTAAGGTTACAAAAATCTCTTAGAAATATTTCAGAAATATCACAAAATGTTTCTGCAATAGCTCTGAGACAGCTATGAAACAGTAAAATGTCCGCGATTCTTACACTTGAAACTTAATAGAAGGGTTTCTGAAAAATTACTAAAAGTCGGTTTTTCCAAGTGTCAGGTAGCTTACTGATAGTGAAAAACCTCTGATAGTTAAAAAGCATATATGTATAGTA